AAAAAAATTATGAAATTTAAAATTTTATGAAATTAATTACAATTAGTTTTAATAATGACCATCATTAGATGATGATGATGATGATGGACATTATTCATAAGTTTTTTTTTAATTTCTAAACAACAACAACAACAAGAGAAAAAAACTTTTACTAAACTTTCAATTGTTTTATTCCGGAGCTAATTGAAATCAAAAAAAAAAAAAAAACAACAACAATCAAAAATTTGTTGTTGTATAACATGGCTCAAAACAACTTTGATTAATTTCGAGAAAAAAATGATTCGTGCCAATCTAAACCAGAAAAAAATTATTATTATTAAACCATAATGATCATTTTTGCTCAAAACAAAAACGATGCTATGTCGCACCACACATTGAGAGTTAGAGAGAGAGAGAACATATGTAATCGGCAACTTGGGAACAAGTTAAAATGATGATTTTGATTTTGATGATGGAAAAAATGGTTAAAAAAATATTGCCGCTATTCTAACCATTGAAAATAGTGAGAAAAAAAAACATACCGCACACATTGATTAAACAACAACAACAAAAAGCAAAATAATCAAGCGAGCGAGCAAACAAAAACAATCCAACTTGGTGGTCTGTGTATGTTTGGATGTTTTTTTTTCTTCTTCAAAGTTCGGGTTCAATCTTTATTATTAATTTTCTTTTGATGATTTTTTGACATAACATGATTGATTCGATTGAGTTCATTGCCATCATTATTTAATTGAAGAAAACTTTTGGAAAAAAAGGGTTAAGATTAGCAAAAAAAGAAAAACATTCCATTTCCCATTGACATTCGAAAAGTATCGATATCAAACAATCGATAGTTTTTCTTTTCCTCTTCAAAAAAAAAATCCAGTTTGTTTAACCCTCTTCGCTCTCACTTCTTTTATCCGCCCCCTCCTAATCAAAATTCATTTCCATTTGAAAAGAAAAAATCAGAAATGTTAACTTTTAACTTAAAACTCTACTTTTATTATAAATGTTTTTTTGACATCCTTTCCAAAGTGAAAAGATTTTTCTTGATAAAAGTAAACAAACAAAAAAGAAAAAAGAATCAACATGTAAAACGTACATATTTGTTTAATGATTGATTTGATTCAGGAGAAAAAAACAAATTTCTTCTTCGAACATCGAATTACGAAAAACATCTTTCAATGTGCACCGAGAGAGAGAGAGAGTGCAAATCAATAGTTTCCTGAACACTGAATATGCATAGAAAAAAAAGGGTTTTTTTTCATAATCAAAAAAAAAACAGACAACTAAATCAACAATAAAACAAGTAAGTACATTTAAAAAAAAATAGTGATGCTTGATCGATTTATTTGAATAAAAAAAAAGATGATGGTGTTAAAGGGTTATTT